AGATAAAGGATGCAGCATTCTTTTACAAAAAAGCTCAGGATCATAAACTTGCTGCTCAACTGTATGAGCAGGCTGGAGAATATGAAGCAGCACTGAACCTGTATTACCGAGAAAAGATGTATGAAGAAGCTGTTCATGCTGTTGAAAGGTATACAAAGTTAAAACTGCACTGCACTGCAAAAATTTATAAGACCCTCACTGAGTTAGACACTTACACAAAGCCAATGTATATAGTTAAATGGGAAAGAGATTTGGGAATAGAGATAGATGAGGATAAACAAAGGAAAATATATAGATTAATACACGAGAATATAAGTATGAGGGAGGTTGAGCTAAATTATAAGTGTTTAACGAGATGGCACATTACACCGAACGTTGAGTATAAGATATGTGGGGAAAATTCACTAGAGTGCTGGAGGGGATGTGGAAAAATAGGCACATTATATCATATATGGTGGGAGTGCCCAAAGATCCAAGGTTTCTGGGAGATAATTGTCCAACTAATTGAGAATATCTCCGGGATAAAGATAGGACTAGACCCAGCAGTATGTCTGCTACATAGTACAGAGTTATCAGTAAATAAATACAAGGATTCGGGTATATGGTGCTACCTAAATGCGGCGAAGGGGTTGATACCTAAGTTTTGGCATAGACCAGAGGTGCTGAAGATAGAGGACTGGGTGGAAAGAATTAATCAAATTTGTAAGATGGAGAGACTGTGTTATATGCAGGAAGACAGAATGGGGTTGTTCTCTAAGAGGTGGAGAAAATGGGAAGAATTTATGGTGAAATATATGAAGTAATTATGTGAGAAAGATGGAAGGATTTACATACCCTATATTCTCGTATGGAAGAGAGGTAATAGAACAATGCAGAGTGGGTGGGTTTACATGGGGGGAGGGAGGTTTTTAATTAGGGCGGGGGGGAAATTAGGTAGAGGGGGGGTGGTAAATGGGAATAAAGATATGCAAATGTTTTGTATGAGAATAATGATGAAATATGTATTATATATGGAAAATAAATAAAAATTTAAATAAAAAAAAAAAAAAAAAACCAAAGTTCAAATATTTATGTAACGTTATCATTAGTGTATCTCTGTTTTCATGTTCGTTTTAAGTGTTCCATTGTTTTAATCTAAAATTTTATTTTACGTGTTTTTAGACACCGAGAGATGTACCCCAGTGCACAATTACGGATAACAGAGAAAAAGTTCTGTTTAGAAGCAGCTGCAAACTTCTTCAGAAATAACAATCTCAATAAAATGACCGAAATGCTCTCTAAACTTGATGTTGAAGATCAGTTGGTCTTCCTGAAGAATCGAAAATGTTGGACCGAAGCTGCAGAGTTGCTGAAAGAGTAATGATAAATGTGAAGAAGCAGCATCTCTTATGAGAGAACATGGGAAGTTGTTAGAGGCTGCAAACTTAACAAAAAGAAGAGAATTTCGAGCATCATGTTTGCTTGCAGCAGCACGGCACAGCCTGGCAAATAAACAAAACCCCGATGGTACACTTTTGGAGGCTTTACACATTTTTAGTGATGCAAACAACAAAGCTGAAACTGCAGAGGCTATTCTTATTCTAGGAATCTCAGAAAATAGCTTTACTAAAATCAAAGACTCATTTTATGAGTTCTTGAATGCCTCTCACCATGCAGGTGTGGTTGAATCACTCTTTCATGCATTAACCTGTGAAGAATCAAATCCAAAACTGCTGTTTATGGCTTCATGTGAGGATTAGAGCGTCTGCTACAATTGGTAAAATCACTCAAGGAAACAAGAACCAATGCAGACAGGGAAATGGTAAAATCCTGTTTAGATTTTTATGGAGTTGTTCAGCTGGAAGAACAGCAGTGCTCAATTCTGGAACATGAGGGGGCAAGATTTTCTCAGATTCAAACAGAGCATAGTGAAACAAGGGAACTGAAGGATATCAAGCTAGTGCTGGTAGAACACCTTTTAAAAAGGCTACAAGAAATTTCTGGCAAGATTCTTGAAAAGGGTTGTACAAGTATTGTAGCAATTTCATTGTAGGTCTACAATGTGATGATGAGAACTGCCCCAATGCCCACCAGCCTCTACAGTATTTTAAATTGAAACCAATGTTGAGGTCTAAGATTCATTTAATAACCATCTGTGGATTGTTAATTGAAGCTCAGAAGCTCAGTGATGACTTGTCTGATGAGTTCCAAACAACTGGTAAGACTTACGGATTTAAATACTGTGAGTCTCTTTTAAACTTTGTGTTTGCTAAACATTTTCATATGCGTATCCTTTCTGAACACCCCAAAAAGTGCAGTGAGCTCTTGCTCAACTTTTCAATGCCAGCTAAAACAATGCTGAACAAATTTCTTGAATCGCTTTTGAGACAAAGTAAACGAGAGCGGAGAGAATCAACCGATCTTTGGATACAAATAATGCAGATCTGTAGCTTGCTGTCACAGTATCCAGATGTTCTGCAACGCTACCTAAATGAGGAAGAGGTACAATATGAAAGTGAATATGAAAAACAGAACAAAGCGAGTGATTCACAAGGAGATGGCAATAGGATTAGATATTTAGAGGGCAGGCAAGGCATGCTGAAACCGGATACCTCTGGTGACTTGTCACAAATGCCTCACATCCATTTTTTCAGGCTTCTGCAAGCTTCTGTGGATGAACTGTACATCAACAAAAATCCAGATGGATGCAAAAAAATATTTTTACAGATTTATGAATTTTGTAGTGAAGAAATGTATCGAGCCTTTCATACCCAACATTGGAAATACTGTGATGTTGCTAGAATTCCAGTTTATTCTCTGCTGTGCAGTAATGATGAGATTTTCTACATGTTCTGTGCTGCTTCCAAAAAGTTATATTTCCATTCTTCACTTCTGGGAAACCTTGTTTAGAAAGAAAAATTCACTGAAGGACACATATTCAATTTTGTGGGAATATAGACCCAAGGATGTAGGTCGGCTTACAGCACACTTCCAACATCATCTTACTTATCTTGCTGCTGTCCTTTGCGGTCAGGAAAATGCAGAGTTCAATGTTCTTTTAGATGCTTTTAATTGTGTGGATTACATTTCTTCGGGAGAAGCTGAAAGAAGCCTTGTGTTTTACTTGGTAATGATGGTGAACCTTCATGGTGTTGTCAGTGAAAAAGCAAGGTCCATACTTAGAAAGAATATCCCACAACTACAGAAGAACATAAAAGATCTTCAAAAGGAATATCCACTGACAATTCCAAGACGATTAGTCAGTGCTGTGGACAGAGTGAACTCAACTGATAAGGAAGAAGATCTAATCAACCTCCTTCAGAATTTACTGGCACAGCGTGATGATGAGCGCCTAGTAGAATGCACATGGAGATGGGACCTAAACTATGGCAAAGGGCTCGTTCGTGGTATTTTCTTTGACGACAAATTCAAGTTTAGAAAACATGGCAGTTTTCAGCAAAAGGTACAGGATTTCAAATCTACTTACATGGAACCTGAACAAGACTTTGAAGATGAGAAAGCTGATCTATTGGCCACCGTGGCAGTCCAAGTACGGCGGCAAATGGCTCTTCGAAAAATAAATATGCTATTTTTTTTTGCATACATCTGTACAAAGTGGAAAAGAGCTTGCAAAAACAATTTGAAAAAACATATGGAAGAATCTATTCCAGACAATTTTAAAATAGCAAATGTTGATAGAACACAGTGTGACTTGTGTGGAGTAAAATTTTCTCAAGCAGTGGGGGTCTCTGACCCATCTGAAGTTGAAGATGACTTGGAAGAAGTTGCAGCTTCAGCCATGAAACCTATTGAAGAACTGGAAATCCCTAGAATACAGATCTTAAATGAAGGTTATGAAGATCACATAATCCTTGAAAAACATAGGCAGCAAAGCACAGCTTATGAGCAATATCTTATTTTTTTTAAACTTGAAGTGGATGTGGTGATCAATGAAGGAAAGTCAATTGTTCAAGCAATGGACACAAAATCAAAAAACAAAACTAACATCGCATGAGGAGTTTCATCTCGTGCAGACTAAGATTGAGAGCAAAATGAAAATTGTTGCTGATTTGGTGGAACACATATATGAGCACAAAACCTGGTCTCAAGGTAAGACATTAGGGTTTGTATGTTTTGTATGTAGTGTCGCCTCTGTAGCCTTTAGTTTCCTCCCAAGATCCAGATACATGGTTCAAGGGCAATTCTGACTATTTTGGTCCAGGAGTGCACAAGTTTCTTTTTATGGCTGTACTAGGACATACATAGTTTGTAAGCTCCTGATTGTCAGGAACTGATTTGAATAGTTATTTGCATGTTTTTTTTTTTTTTCTGGTGGAGCTTGCCAGAACTGCTTTCCAGCATGTCTCCTGATGGACACTGACAACGCTGCAAGTGGGACTATTTTTTATTTGAATGGTATCACTGGGAGGACTACTGCCACTGGCTGTGGAGTGAGCAGGCAGGCGGCTGCGTTTTCTGACACTGTCACTGTACTGCTGGACAGTGGCAGCAGCCCAGCAGTCCCTGGTGAAATGATATTCATCTGTCGTCCTTTTCATGTAGCTCTGCCTTCCTAGGACAATCTTATCTCTGTTTTACCTACCCAAGGGCATCTTGCTGTATGGCTTACAGTGTCCATGCGCATTAGTCCTTAACTCCCTTTTTACTTGCCAGGCATAGGGCAGTACTGTGAAACACTATGAAGTTTGTGCATGCATTGGGCTAGGGTCTGAGGTCTGAAGGTACAAAAACTGGAGCTCATCTGAGGTCAAAATGTGAAGTTTTGCAAATAAGACCTCATTCAGACAAACACTGATGCCATACTGTGTGCAGGCTTTGTTTGTTTTGGCATTATTCAATAAAAGGGGATGGTGCTAGGAACTCGATAGAGGTGGAGATATGGGGCAGTGCTTGGTGGGTAGGGGCAGAGACAAGTTGACCTCCAACAAGAAAAACCCTGGTTCTGATGCTTTATACTGATGTATTTACCTTCCTAACAGTAATAGTACATACTGTATCCAAAGTTGTTGTCCAGACACCACCTGGCGGTACCTCTAGCACTCCACAGAACAGGATTCCCCAGAGCGCGGAATCTAAGCCCCAGTCTGCTGTTCACCAGGGCCCCTGATGGTGGGAGATGGACTTGGAGCAGACTGAGACCAGGTTGTGGCCCCTGAGTACACCCACCTGTGGTAGAGGGATCCGCCAGAAGTGTGTACAGGTGGAGAGCCTGACGTGAAGAGGCGGATGGGCCTGAGCAGTGGTGACCGGATCCGTGCAGGGCGCATGGATAGCAGGGCAATAAGTGTGGTCAGACAGGCCGGTTTGGTAACAGTGGGATCAGCGTGGTACAAGGCAGCAGACAAAGAATAATCAAGTCACTTGCCGGGTTCGGTAACAGGAGTTCAGATCAGTGGAATTGTCCAGAAGAGTAGTCAAACGAGCCAGGGGTCAGAGCAGGAGAAGTCAGCGAAGTCAGGATCCAGCAGGGTCAGCAACGAATCAATCAGCAGGAAACACACTAGCAGGAACAGGGTAAGAAGACCATATGGCAACTTGTGTCTGTGCAGGGCTGGTTTAAATAGCCCGCCCGGCACTGACAGGCGCGCCTGGGTCCTAGTGCCTGCCCAGCGCCGTCATAGGTGACAGGCGCGCCTGGGTCCTAGTGCTCACCTACCTGCATGTCTTGTCGGACACCTACGCATGTGCAGACTCATGCGTCGCGGTGATCCCTGACAGTTGTATTCTCTACTTGATTTGTGTTTCTGGACTCGAGGCTTGTCTGTGCTGCCAGTGTGGTGGTACCCTGTATGTTTCTACTTACTATGTCGTCTTCTGTTTATATTGCTCCTTAACACCTTTATTCAGCATGCAGAATGTCTCCTGTATCTCCACTAATGGCAAACAGGGTTAAATTGTTGTCATGGAATGTTCGAGGTTTGAACCTGAAAGTGAAAAGGGCCCTGGTCTTTTGGTACCTTGAGCAATATAAACCCCAACTGATCTATCTCTAGGAAACCCATCTTACTGGCAGCAAAGTACTGGCCCTGGGTAAACCCTGCCTACAACATGTGTTTCATGCATTGTATCTGTTTATACTAGGGGTATAGCAATCCTTGTTAGTAAGTCATTGTTTTGTATGATTCAGCAGGTTGGTGGCTGCAGAACTGATCATCAGAGGCATGACATTTATTTGTCAACCTCTATATTCCCCCGCCATTTGACCCTCAGATGTTGCAAGCCCTGTATGATAATGGCTTATCTTCTAATCAGTAAAAAATGATCATGCTTGGTAATTGTAATGCTGTTATTCACCTCAAGCTCAACTAATAGGCACAGGGCCTCTGCACTAGGCCTGTTGGCCTAGAAGAGATGCCCTGGGCCTAACAGATCTCTAACAGTTGAAAAACCCTGATACAGGGCAGTACTCATGCTTGTCCTCCACACATGGATCAACTCCTTGTAAAGATGTAGCTTTAGGCTGCCATGGTGTTCTTCTTCATATTGCTGCTATTCCTCCCTGGGGGGATCTCTGACCATACCCCCTTGCAGATTGTTTTATCTTTCGGTTCTCGTATATTTTGCCCTACTTGGCATCTGCAGGCAGGCTGGCTCTGGGAACTTGATACAGTTGAATGGGTTAAAGATCCCATGGTTACTTACTGGGAACATAACGGGGGGGGGTGGTGGGCCCGCTGGTGGAGTGGGATGCTTTGTTAAAGGGTAGTATACTTGTATACTCAAACATGTTAGAACAACCCTTGACAATATCATCCGAGACTTGAGAGTTCCCAGCAGCAGTCCAAACAACAGTTTGCTAATGATCCTACTAATCATAATATTATGAAACTTCATCAGATTTGGAGGGATTTGCTGTTGCACAGGACTGATCAGGCTCCATGAGAAGCTTTTTTAAATGCGGAGGCAAAAATGGAAAATTGCTTGCAAATTTTGTGTCAGATTACGCTGTGCAAATGGATGTTCCATGTATTAGAAAAGACTTCCAAAATTTCCATAGGGTCAGTCGAAGTGCACCATCCACTGCTCTGACTATTTTGCCAATCTTTATCCTCCCATTGCCCAACATGATCAATCGCTGTTGTATGAGAGGTTGCAACGATTCCCCATGTCTGAATTATCAAATCAGGTCAAGACTTTAAATGCTCTGCTTACTCTGGGTAAAATAAAAGATGTTCTTTTGTCTCTTCCTAATAACAAAACCCCTGGACCAGATGGTTTCCCGTCAGAATGGTATAAATTATAAGTGGAAGAACTAGCTCCAGCACAGATTTATATCTGCAGTCCATTAACTGGGGATTCTATGTACCATGCCCATATTGTCTTCATTCATAAACCAGTTAAGGGTTGTTGTCTTTTGACTCATACAGGCCTATCTGTCTCCTAAACATGGACCTGAAGTTCTTTAGCAAGGTCCTAGCAACTCACTTATCCAAGGTGGTTGAGACACTGGTGAACTATGTCCAAACTGGGTTCAACTCTGTCCACTGATATTAATGTTTTATATGTTTTGTATTTAACGTTTTTCACTTACAGTGGGGCAAAAAAGTATTTAGTCAGCCACCAATTGTGCAAGTTCTCCCACTTAAAAAGATGAGAAAGGCCTGTAATTGGCATCATAGGTAGACCTCAACTATGAAAGACAAAATGAGAGAAAAAAAATCCAGACAACCAGGGACTCAGATCCTGCAGTGCAAGACGTGTCCCCCTGCTTAAACCAGTACATGTCCGGGCCCGTCTGAAGTTTGCTAGAGAGTATTTGGATGATCCAGAAGAGGATTGGGAGAATGTCATATGGTCAGATGAAACCAAAATAGAACTGTTTTGGTAGAAACACAACTCGTCGTGTTTGGAGGAGGGAGAATGCTGAGTTGCATCCAAAGAACACCATACCTACTTTGAAGCATGGGGGTGGCAACATCATGCTTTGGGGCTGTTTCTCCGCAAAGGCACCAGGATGACTGATCCATGTACAGGGCAGAATGAATGGGGCCATGTATCGTGAGATTTTGAGTGCAAACCTCCTTCCAGCAGCAAGGGCATTGAAGATGAAATGTGGCTGGGTCTTCCAACATGACAATGATCCCAAACATACCCACCCGGGCAACGGAGTGGCTTCGTAAGAAGCATTTCAAGGTCCTGGAGTGGCCTAGCCAGTCTCCAGATCTCAACCCCATAGAAAACCTTTGGAGGGAGATGAAAGTCCGTGTTGCCCAGCGACAGCCCCAAAACATCACTGCTCTAGAGGAGATCTGCATGGAGGATGGGCCAACATACCAGCAACAGTGTGTGCCAACCTTGTGAGGACTTACAGGAAACATTTGACCTCTGTCATTTCCAACAAAGGATATATAACAAAGTATTGAGATGAACTTTTGATATTGACCACATACTTATTTTCCACCATAATTTGCAAATAAATTCTTTCCAAATCAGCCAATGTGATTGTCTGGATTTTTTTTTCATTTTGTCTCTCATAGTTGAGGTCTCCCTATGATGCCAATTACAGGCCTCTCTCATCTTTTTAAGTGGGAGAACTTGCACAATTGGTGGCTGACTAAATACTTTTTTGCCCCACTGTATGTTCAAGTCCCGCATTATAATCGAGGGAATAGAATTGTCTTTACACTTGATATTGAAAAAGCATTTCGTTCTGCAGATTGGAGCTATATGTGCATGGTCCTCGAGAGAATGGGATTTGGCCCCTCTTTTCTATGTTGGATCAATTTAAATATATTGTAGTCCCAAGCATCTATTAAACTCCGTGATACTCAGTGAACTTAGTTAAGTTTTTCACTTATGTTCAAGTCCTGCATTCTAATTGAGGGAGTTGATTTGTCTTTACACTTCATAATAAAAAAGTGATTCTGTAGATTGGAGCTATATGCGCATGGTCCTTGAGAAAATGGGATTTGGCCCCTCCCTTCTACTTTGGATTCATTTTTATTATATCATAGTCCTCAAGCATCTGTTAAACTCAATGATATGATCACAGCCCCATTATTAAGGAGAGGGCTGCCCCCTGTGGCCCCAAATATTTGCCTTTTATGATGGAGCCCCTGGCAGTAGCAAATTGATTGAACACAGCAGTGAAAAGTCTAATGCGAAATAAGTTGGAAGAAAAAGTTGTGCTGTACGCAGATGACATGCTGTTTGTTTCTCCAAGACCTGCGAACTCTGGAGGAGTTCTCAGTTAACTGGCGTAACGATAAACTGGGTGAATCAAAAATTCTTCCTATGACCCGATTCTACCTCAGGTGCAAGATACTACTTTTCCTCTTCAGTGGGTAACACATTTCAAATATTTTGGTATCCAGGTGTCCAGTACCTAGCAGAGTTTGTGCCTTTATATTTTTTACTTCTGTCTCTTACAAAAACAAAACAGTTTTTGCCGTTCTCTATTATTGGTAAGATTCATTTATGAAAGTTAAATTGCTCCCCCCTTTCTTATGTGTTCAGAAATGCCTCTTAGTGGATTCTTTGATCCCTCTTTAAACAACTAGATGCACACATTTCCTACTTCCTCCCAGATTTAGCTTAGCCATAATGAAGCAACTGTTTAGTTTGGGTGGGTTGGCCCTTTCTAATTTTTTCCAGTACTCTGCGTTTGTATGAGGGTCTGCAATCACTCTCATTCACAGGATACCATGAAAACCGCAATTATGTCATGGAATAGAACCCAGGTTCTTCATAACAACATCAGTGGTCTGTTTATACCCCTCTGTGGAAGAACCCTAATCTTCTTCATTTGCTTTGCCTCCCTGAGCCAGCCATTTGGGCTTCAACGTGCATAAGTTTTTTTTGGGGGGGAGGGGGATTGTTTGTGGTACATTTCTACAGTTTACTGCATTACAGACCCAACACTCTCTTGCCAACTGGTACTTTTTTTGTTCCCTGCAGCTTCATCATGCTTATACATCTCAGTTTGATATCACTAGAACCACTAGCTATGTCACAAGATTGGAATGCCTTTAAGATCTAAGTCCCAGTCTAACATACACTCCAATATATACAAGACATTGCACTTAAATGTAGAGGAAAACGGTCCCAAGATCTTACATCTCTGGACAATGAAGACAGGGACGATGTCTGGGACTACTCATTTCAGCAAATGATCTCGGCAAGGGACAGGCTCATACAATTTAAAATAGTTAATCTTCGTCATCTCATGCCTGCCAGGCTAAGTAAGCTCTCCGTTATTCTTTCTGCTGCCTGTTGGAGGAGCGCTG